TTTGAGCTGAGTGTTGTCGCTCTTCCACTATTCAAAATGTATGAAAAACCAAAAAATTCGGCTGGTCAAAAAGGTCTGATTTGTATTGTAATGTGATGTAACGAGACTGAATCAGTGAACTTATGTACTTTCTATGATTGGGTATTTTATAATTACTGTAAACATAAACGTTCAGGTTGTTTTTCAAAATTTGGACATTTGAACTCATACGTTACATCCGTAAATTACGATTGTGATTCGTGCTTTTGCAGAATAACGGCATTATGAAAAGTGAGCGATGAACTTTTATACTTTCAACATCTTTATTTTAAAATCTATCTCAAACGTTCCGAACAACTGGCACAACCATCCAGTAACAATAACAATCACCATTGCAATTTCTGTGCAATATTAGTATCAATCTTGTGATAATCTGTGTACAAAAGAGTCCTCCACTTAGAATTCAGTTGTGACCAAGCATCTCCGACTTTTCTGAAAAGTACTCAATAGCTGCTAGATGACAGTTACTGAATAATTCGTAAAAACGAGCCGTGCTTCTGAGCTGGCATCGTGACCAATTTTGGCGAAAGTTTCTTCGACTGCTTTAAGAATCCGTTCCCTTTCTTCCGCAGTTTCTCCACGTATTTGTGCGCCGCCATTACCACACGCTGAAACAAGTGAAAGATGTACTTGTACATCAATATAAGTGAATAAGAATAAAAGTTTTTTACCGCTAGGACAAGCCATGACTTCGATATAGTCATAAGGTGTTTTGTTGTTCTTCATTTTTCGTACTAAGTTCTGAATATTTCTGAATCCATAAATCCTCGCTGCCCGCAGAAGCACTTCGCCGTCGCGAGTTACCGTGATGCTATCTACATTCCTCGCTCTGTGAAAAAAAAAGTGATTCAAATGCATTCGACAATCAGTAAAGTAAAAGACATACATTCGCTGCTCAGCAATTTCACCACCACATTCCTTCACAAACCTCTCAACTAAAACGTCTGCAAATCCACCGGAAGTTCCGCCTGCGTTACCGCAAAGAACCCCTGGGCATGGAAATATAAATAATGAAAAGTAAACGCCATTGGACAGACCTCTGCTGAAATCGCCTAACCATCCTTGTTCTTCAGACTCAACAAGATTTTCAACTTCATCCAGAAGAGAATCGAGTTCCACTAAACTATGGAACTTATACGTGCAAACAAATAATGAAATGTGCAGGCTCTACCTGTACTTATAACGCAGTCTGTTTCACGAATTTCAGTGTCGGTTACATAGAAGTCGCGCCTTGAAGCTTCCAGCTTTTTATCAAAGCACATCATCACTGCAGCGTGATAT